AACAACAGGTTGTGACTAGATCAAGTGGCACTTTTAGATCTGTGGGAACTCTACTAATTTGCTCTTGAGTTGATTGAATCTGGCCACATTGGTTGATGAAAGGGATAGAAATAATGTGAGTTACCATTGCTGACTGGCTGTTTTTTAATGTGCAACTACTATCTATCTTCCATTTATTGAAGTATTATTGGTGTATTGACATGCTTGATCAAGGTCCATGACTTATCAAGTAGTGAAAGGATGGCTATGACAGTTTTGAGGCTTGTACCTTTAAAAATAAGTCCAGAAAATGTGCTTCAATTAAATATAGCTACTTTTTATTTTTGAATAAAAAAAAATTGTCAGACATGGTGTAGCAATAGTTTGGTTGCTAAAAAGGACAAATTTCCATTAAAAATTACATCATTGAATATAAACACTGAAAATGTATATAATGAAAGTTTACTTCTTGATTTATAAGCCCTCATTCACATGAGCAGCACATACCGGTATGAGGCATTGTTCTAACGAGTGCCAAAGGGGGACACTTGGCAGGAGTTTTTGCACCTGCCAAGTGCCCTCCAACCACTAGGCTTTTAAAGCTCCGCACACACTTCCACATTCCACCATGGCACTGCCAGGTTTCTGTGAGCTAACCAAACTGCACTTAGTCATTTCATTCAGTGAGCAATTTAGGTTTGACCCAGCAGATGCTGAAACAGGTATATTGGATGCTATTTTGCATTCACCACCCCTATGTACAAACCCTTGTGCAGTGTACTGACACAAGTATAATGTTAAAGTTGAATAGTAGATAGTTAAATATAAAGATGAAATACTGTATATACTGACTGTATAAAATCATTTTTTACAGGCACACTGCTTGCCTGCTACTCTGTTTGCTGGGCTTTATAAGAAGAAAGCCCAGCACTAGCTTTGCACTTGCCACCTCCCACATAGAAAATCCAGGCGACTTCTGCCTCTACTAGCCTTGAGGGATAGTGTGGACTTTCTCTTCTCAGACTCATTCCATTGTATGTCTAATCTGATATCCTGCTTTTCACAAGGCTACACAGGTCTATTTGGAATAAATCAGTTTTTTTAAACTTGCATTTGCCAACAGCTGGCTGCAAGCAGCACAATTCAAAATGTGAATTTGTAGTATTTCATATTTAACTAAAAGCAGATTTCTTGACCTGAACAGAACACATAAATGGAAAATACAAAACAAAAAAAACATCTTTTTAATGTGTAGCAGCGCATTACTCATGCAAACGGAGGTTTATTCAATGTGCTTATACATGCCTACAACAGGCGTTTTGGTGTCTGTGTGTGTTGAGGAGGGCGGGAGGAGTTGGGTGGATGTTGGCTCCGTTGGCTAACAAAATGAAGGGGGAGGAGTCCGGTGACGTCACGGACATCAACGTCACCGGACTCCTCCCCTTCCCTTCGTTAGCCGTCACGGACATCGACGTCACCGGACTCCTCCCCCTTCCCTTCGTTAGCCGACGGAGCCACTTGTGGAGGGGGGGAGGAGTCCGGTGACGCCGATGTCCGTGACGTCACCGGATCTCCGACGGGACTCCTGGAAGCCGACGGAGAGGTGAGTGTTTTCATTAGCGATCAAAATAATTTTAATCAATCAAAAACTTTAACGATTAATCGAGAAATTAATCGTTAATTTCTGCAGCCCTAGTCATTTTACAGAATAATGCATTGACCTAGTGTGTGCTAAAAGTTTTCTATATTTTGAGGGAGATTTTTAAAACATTACAAGCTGTAAGCACGTGTAGTAACTCAATTGAGAGTCGGCTTCGTATACCTTTCAGGCGGAGATGTAACTTGCAGTGATGAAAAATACTTTAAGCATAAATGCCCTTGGAAAGCACATTTATCTCTCCCTCAGCGATATCTGCCACATTTATACACGTCGCAAAATGTTTTCAGGTATTTGCAAATAGTATGTTGCTCCAATTGTTAATGTAATCTACAAAAGCGGTAGGGACCTTTTATGGGGTTATTGGGAAAAAATACTGTTATTTCTTGAAATGTATCTTTACAGAAGCTGTCAGTATTAGTATTGCCCATGTTTTATTACTTTTGTTACTTGGTAACATTTTTACAAACTAGTTGAACATCTGTATATCTTATGACCTTCCTCCTGGTGTTCACTCGGTAATCCTTTTAACCCCTTCAAGGTCAGAGCATTCCTGACCTTTCAGAGTTGGATTGTTTGGAAGCATTAGTCAAACTTTATCCCGTGGGAGGATATCCTTATTTTATTTTATTTTTTTAATCTACAATTAGGGCTTTTTATTGGTTGTAATGGTATATGATTACCGGCTTGATGTAATTTTTTTAAATGGAAAATAAGACAAATGGGAAAAGAAATCAGTTTTGATCTTCCCTTCCTCCATACGCCTTATATTAACATGGATATGTGCTTAATATTTTTACACTGCAGTTTTAAGCTTGGTTTACAAAAAATATTCCAACGGGATCCTATATTTAGTCTTGGCTCATTGTGTGCCAAAAATATAAGACCTATTGTGACCTTCAGTTATGTAAACAAATGTTGTAAAGAAAATGAAAAATGGGCTGAGGTTGTTTGTGGAGATGACTGTAAAAGTAAATAGTTTTCCATTTTATCTTTTTTTCTTTTTTTTACTTTGTTACTCACAAGAACCTACATTTGTTTGCCATTTATATGTGCAGCTCTTTGTGCTTTGCTGATTAAGCAAAGGCAATTAAGAGGTAAAGACTACAATGACAAGACCTACCCTAGCTTTTAGTACTGTATTGGCAATCAGTTTACTATTGTATGCCAGTCATCGTAAAACCCGTCGGGTCATAACAGAAGTGTGTGCTGCTTTTCAGATAGACACCGCATGTTGTAAATTCTCGGAGTGCTGCCATGGAGGGGTTAAACCATTAAAAAAAAATTTAGCATGTCACTTGCGTTCTTTACAGCTGTTTAAATTTTGACGTGAGTGTTTAGATGTTGGAACATTGTGAACATTTGCAGTTATCTTGTACACTTTTTTTTTTTTTTTTTACAAGGTAATTATACTTTGATTCAGAACAGATCTAAATGAAATCAGAGAGTACAAAGTATAATACATTGCTGCATGCTGGTGTTACAAAAGCTCATAACAAACTAGTTATTAATAACGACAAATGTGCTAAACGTGTGTCTGGTGAGATTATTGTAGCAAGTACCAGTGTACGCTATGTGGTATGTCCACAGCTGCCCACCAAAGTCCACTTATCATTGACTGAGTTTGAAAGTTCAGAGTACAAATCAGTCACGTGGCCAGCACTGTGTACACGATCATCAAACAACTGCTTCTGTTTGGAGCCCACGTGGTCTAGAAAGCAATTAGTGTGAGCCTGGTTATTTATTTATTTATTTCAGGCATTCAAAAATGATCCCGTTTACTGCTATGGCCCTGTGCAAATATTAGATATTAAATATCAGATATTGTGTTGCTTGTGATAGTGGGTAAGGCCCATATGTCTAACATAAGTATGGCTGTAAGTGACGAATCATGCCTTTTTACATTTTTGTTAAAAGGAATGTAGTTCTTTTGTGCATTTCCTTTTTTTTTTGCAGTCGAGTTAATACAATCTTTCATATTAATATTCTGTGTTTTGCTTTTGAGCAAGCGGGTGGAAATGTAAAGCTCAATTTGTGGGCTAAACAAACATTCTCCAAATAACAAAACCTTGTGTGTATTCTTACCTAAATCTTGGTGTGCCTTGTTTATTTCTTCCAGATCTGTGCAGTAATCCAGTGTAAATTTTCGTTCTTGTGCAGGAGTTTCCTGTAATAAAGACCGTTCACTGCTGCTCTCTCTCCTTGTGCACGATGACTGGTCTTGTATCCACCCCATGTGGTTTTTTTGCAGGTAGCTTATAGTGTGTGAGGACATTCCAGGTCCCTTCCACAAGTATATGCAGCCCAGTAATGTCACCACTAGTTCTACAATTTTGCAAAGACCTGGAGTTCATCTTTCAGCTCCTTTTCACATTTATTAGGCTCTTGGTCTTCTTTTTTGATGAAATAATCCCCAAAACTCATAAGCAGAGGCCGGTCAGTCTGAAGTTTAGTCAGAGAGATTTTGCCTTATAGCAAGCTGTACCTTCTCTGCTGTGCTCACTAGCTAACCCACAGAGCTCAAGGAGTCCTTTGTCATGTATATTTAGTGGAAGAACTTTATATTAACCTATTATTATAATTTATCTTAACTTAATTTGTAGGTTTGTGACAGTATTGAGTTTTTAACCCATTAAGATAAATGTTTGTCACAGTTAGTCAAAAATAGATCACACTCGCATTGTAATAAGCATCTTATGGCACAATTTATTTAACACATTCCACCTTTTTATATTGTGTTTTTTTTTTAAACAGCTTTTATATTGTTTTAGCTTTAAGAAAATACGGTATATAGTGTTTGATTTACAAAATGTTGAGATCCTCGTGTGTGTGTGTGTGTGTGTGTGTGTGTGTATCCAACCTATAAATGTCCATACACTTATGGCATCACTGAGACACATTGCTAATATAGAGCTGCAAATCCAAACTATTTGATTATTTTACATGATAAAATTGTAGATAAATTCTGAATAAAATTCCTATATTATATTCCTTCCCATCCTACCTTGTTGCGGATGTTTCCTAGGCTAAAAAAAACCATGACGTCCTGAGATGTTACTAAATCTCATGAAGCTTTTTTAGTTAATATTTCTGAGCGTAAAAGAAAACAAGATATGCTTTGCAAGGATCAGGTCCAATATTTGTGGAGAAGTTGGAAAAAAAAAAAAGTGAAATTAGGCTGAATAATTGTTCATTCATGTGGGTCACTCTAGCTTGTTCGCTGGCGTCTCGAATTACATTGCCTACGGTTCTGTGCTTGGTTGGCTATCTCTACATCTTAACGAGGCTCTGGGAATTTCAGAGTCTCTACAAAAGTTTGCTTTGTGTTTCCCTCATCCCCCTCCCACCTCTTCTTGTTTTTCAGGATGCTTCATCTGCTGACATCAGGAAAGCCTATCGCAGGCTCTCTTTAATACTTCATCCAGACAAGAACAAGGAGGAAAACGCAGAAACTCAGTTCAGACAAGTAAGTTCCTCAATGTATCCTGAAAGTTATATATATTTCTTTTTTTAACATTTTATTTTTAAAATTCTGTCTTTCGGTTTTAATTTGCATTTTTAGAATATTTTTTTACTTTCTCTGTTTCTCATTTATTTTTTTCCTTAAAATGATGTGCTGATAAATTGTGATTTTTAGCTGCAATCATTGGCTTTGTTGAAGTTTTGTAACTAGTGATTTATTTCTGTGTAGCAGTAGTTAGATGGTTGGTGAACGTGATTTATAGTTTAGACAAAAACAGTGCTGTTCACTTTAAGTTACAGTGTGAATTGCTCTAATTTCGTCACAGAATTGCAACTTTTCATTTTATTTTAAACTGATCTCTCTTTTTTTTTTTTTAAGTTGGTAACAATATATGAAGTATTAAAAGATGAAGAAAGGAGAGCAAGGTAAGGATGCTTTTACCCGCAAAGCATTTTACAAAAAACTGCTGGCTTACACTTACATTTATCCATTGCTTTGCAGTTGAATTTTAAATCTTGCATTGTTTTTACTATTATTGTATCAGCGTTATTGATTGATAATTTTTTTACCTTGAGCTCTTTTATTTCTCAGTGGTGCAGTAATTAATTTTATACATTACTTTTAACTATGTAACTGTATTATACATTTTTCAACAATGCTGCATTTTTTAACTTTTATTTCAGCTTTTTATATCTAAAATAAACGATAACTCTTATTTAGCGTGTTAATGATCAGCGTTTCATAGTGTGTGACCATGGGTACTGCTTAGAAGTTAAGACTATTTCTTTTTTAAACTAACAAGTTTAACGTTTTGGCTAATGATAAATATGAGAGGAGAAAAAAACCCAGAATATTTGGTTTAATTGATTTTTAAATCAAGAGGTGGCTTGAAAGACCGTCATGCATGTTTAGAGGGTGACGTACCTTGCGCGAAGGCTTTTTGATGCACCTCTTTTCACCTGGTGCAGCAGTCATGTTCACCTGCATGTTATTGCCATGGTAATACACGCAAAGCATACATTAGCACACAGAACACACACAATTGCTTTTTTTAAAATTTTTGATGAGATCCTGCTGTCCTTGGCTTCCAGTGCAATACAGCCTGTGAATAACCTGCAGATATTTTTGGGAATGAATACACAAATTTGGGTGGTATTGAAGAAGCAGTTCCCTCCCAGTGTGTAGATGTGTCTTTAAGGACATATATTCTGCTGATGCATGCAAGGGCCTACCAATAATATGTACACGTTTGGGGTTATTTTGGTCCAATATTTTATGGAATTTGCTTGCTTGCCTGATGAAAAAGTGCACATAATGTAATAAGTTTGAGAAACACTAGCATTCTGTAAGCAAAATCATTAGAGCCAGAGCTTACTGGATGGTCAGAGAATGCCTTTATTTGCTTCCATACAACACGGGCACAAAGGATGTTGCAGTCCTACTACAATGGGAAACCACGGGGTAGCTGCAGGGGGGAGGAGGGCAGGGCTGCTTTATGAATACTGAAGTAAGAGTAGACCTTTTGGCCATAGCAACCAATCATATATTGGCTTTCATTCATAAACCTGCATTGAGAAATTTAAACAAGGAATATAGTTCCCTCGAGGATTTATGCTCCAATGCAGAATAATATTAATGCTGCATCAGATATTACATTATCTTAAAATTGCCATAGGCTGAATTCGGTACATTACATCACTAGGGGCGCACATCAAATCCTAGGGGCAACAAATCAAATCCTTCGTAGATTCTCAGCGCTGCATTGAAATCAGCTGTTTGCTAACATTAATTTCTTATTTACTCATCTCAGACACTTCATTAGACACACTTTTTGGCCATGGCTCCTGGCACAAGACTGCTGTACAACCCAAAAGGGAGAAGAAGTTGAAGTGTGTGTTTTAAAGGCTGCCAGGCAGCTGATCTTTATCTCCGAGCTGGACCAGTTGGTTACAATGCAGTACAAAGGCAGGTTTCAAGCCGGGGCCTCCGTCACATTTCTCATTGCTGTAAAGTGCAATCCATCATGCTGCAGGACTGCGGCGCTTACAGAAACCCTTGTGCGACTTAACGTCTTTCAAATGTGTTTGCGGTAGATCCAAGGCTTAAACGTTAAAAAAACTGCTTCCTCTATTCCCATTAGTTTAAGGTATTGTGTGAGCTGGCCCCTATTCATCATTTTGTTTGTCTTTAAGGAAAGGCTTAAATCTTCTGCTAAGTAGCCAGCAGGCATTTCATGGAAGGTTATTGCCTGTCTAGATATCGGCAAACCGCTGGCCATTGGGAAGCGAAAAGTCCCCAATGTTAAAAGTATACATTGCCTGTTAGACATGATGGAGCTTGTAGTCCACGAACAGTCAAAGGTCTAAAATCAGGCATTTTGATCTAACATGAGCGGTGAATTAATTTGGGTAACTTTAAATGGGGGCTTCATTAGGTTTGCTGATGGCCACAGCACTCTTGGAATTTATATACTAATAATAAAATACATTTGAGACAAGGATAAAATATTTAATATTCATTTTTTAAAATGTTAAAATGTAGCAACTGGCTATGTATATTGACTGCCAGAAAACATTTGTAACACTGCCATGTTAGAAGGCAAGCTGGTATTGACCGAGGGAACTGTTTGGTCCCTATTCATTTTAACTTTTTAAACTGACACAGCTGTATGCAAGTTGTAGTTAATGGCTCTCTAATTGTAGGCTGTATCTGTGCTGTCTGATGCATGTGCATAGTTGGCCACAGGGGTATAATGAAATGACACTGGATGCCCATCCTTGAATACACCTCCTTGTTTTTTGGACATGTAGATACCTTCTCTCTCTTGCTGATTGTGCGGCAATTTCAAAGTTTTATAGAAACAAACAATTCCCCTTAGTTTGGCCCCATTACAGGGAGCTGTTTAGGGCTCCCTTATGGCAACAACGGGGAACCTTCTCCACCACCCGGATGTAACTGTAATCCCACTGTTGGTGTTGGGTTTTATTGTACTTGGGTGGAGACATCACAGTGCTGTAGACTTACAAGTGTATTTATAAACAGTGAATGTGACCTTCACCAAACATTCACTGCAGGTGTATTTTCCAGGGGTATGTGTTTAAAATTGCAGTATTTTTAAATTTAATTCAATTTACGGTAATTTATTAGTTTGAAGGTCACATTTTTCACTTATAAATCTGCCCCATGATTTGCTTATGTGTAGAGTCCTGGTTAGGTGATATGCATCAGAGGGAGGAGCATGGTGGGGCTGGAGCAAAAAACTGAATGAATGTGTGGGCGTAAGGATAGTAGAGTGCAGCATTATTCGTATGACATGTCCGATCTTTCCTTTGTTGAGTGGCTGGTATAGCTAGCACCCATAACACAGTGTACCTGTACCATTAGACTGTGGAGCTTTTCAGTCTACTTGTTATTTTTGTATACTACTTGAATATCCCTGACTCTGCTGGCTCTGCTCTCATATCTCTGCCTCACCACTGTTTCATTGTCAATAGGGCTGCAACAACTAATCGATGAAATCGATAATAATCGATTATGAGAATATTTGCCAACTATTCCCATTATCGGTTAGTTGGTTTGGAAGGGGGGGAGAGATTTTTTTCATGCAACCCATCGATTAGTTGAAAAAACAATTGGGCAACTAATCAATCATGAGAATAATCGTTAGCTGCAGCCCTAATTGTCAATAATAATTTGATTTGACTGTGTTTTTTAAAATCAATTAACATGTGTTTCCTGCTAAACAGTTGTCCCAAAAATGTACATAATCTATACCACGAGAAGTTAAAAATGCTTATACGTTGAGTTTTCATCATGGCATGGCGCTGTTTCTTGGCATTGCACTTACAATAGCACAGATAAAGTACAAAATGACATGCCTGTCTGAATTAAACCTAAATTAAATGAAAAACTGAGATGAATTGAATAAAAATCGCAAGCCAATCAATCCTTCTTCATTTAATCAATGTTGATTTAGTCGGTTCTTAATTTCGACTTTGCCAAGAGGATCATCTGTGGCAGAATTTTGATGATCGCATTTGATCAATGGAACCGATCTGCGTGTTTCAAGAGAACAAATTTTAATTCAATTCAGCAATTTTATTTCTAATAGATCATTAGATAAACATTACATATATACCTGATAGAGCGTATTTTCGATCGATCATAAAATGCGTAACAATACCATTTGTGCTGCATCACTTCATATTTTAATCATCGAGAGATTGATTGCGATGGCTCTTACGTAAGTTGATCACGCATGGTCTGTATTGCCAGCTTAGCAGGAATACCGAGGCCTCCTTGTCTCGGGTGCAGCAGGTGCGTGGACCTAACATAACCTTTTGGTAGAGGTTTCTTTTATGTACAGTGACATTTATTCCCCATTCCCCATTCATGAAAAGCTATAGCTCTAGATTTTTCTTTCTTGCACAGTAAAGGGATTTTTCCTTTTCCATTATTGATGACACTCTGTTTAAATATTATGCTTTAGTGCCACAAATGTTTTGGCATTCGACAAATAAAATTCTATAAAAGCTATAAACTGATGGTAAACCTAGCAGCCCACAGTCATGGATGTAGGTTCTGCTCAAATGAAGCCTTCATCCTCTTCAGTATTTAATGTTTTGGCCACTTGATTTTGTAACATCATTTTTAAGGTATTCTGGCATTTTTTTTTTTCAAACAGGCTACTTCATCTACCCGTTCTTGGCTCATTGTACAGCATTTTAGTTTTTTGGCCTTGTGCCTTGATTTTGCTGGAGGCAAGCAGTAATCCCCCATAAACACTTTAATCTTTTGGGCCTTTTTGGTAATTGAGATAATATAAATATATAAATATCGAAGCTTGTTCTGCTAGGACTTGGCTAGTTAACCTCTTGTGCAGAGGAGAAATGGATTTATATGAGACACAAATGATTGCGGGTGAATTTCTGTATGTAGCTTGGGTAGGTGGCTTAGCATATCAAGGAATAAACACAACAGTAGGGGTTGTTGTCACTCAAACATTTTTAATATAGTATAGATGTACAAGACATATCCTTTAAGAAAATTGGACAGATTATTGCACATTCATTTACAAGACCACATATCGTGAAACCCTTTCTCGACACTAATTATATCATATTTTTACCAGTGAACTCTAGAGCCTCTTAGATACCCTAAAAATGTATGTCTCTGATAAGCCAGGAAGGCACAATAGTTTTATAGTCAGCCACCTATCTTACTTATTTACTTCTGCAATGAGGGCAATTTTTACTATCAAACCTATAGTACGGGTTACCTGTGACTATTAAAATCATTAAAAGGTGCTGTGCATCAAAAACAATTGCCATATTTTTTGTTTACATTTAAAAAAAATCTTTGGTTGCATCTCTGCTGCTGATCCCCTGCAACTTCCTTGTAGACACTTCCTGTCTACATGCATGTG